ACCGCCTGACCGAGCCTGGTGGCCAGTCTTCGCTTCTGAATCAGGTAAGTCGAATTAATTACCTACTCCTTATATATTGATTATCCATAGGCATTTCGAGCCCCACCCTTAGTTGTTAGTCGAATCCACCGCTGATAGGCCCCGAGATATTTGACCTTTGTCGGGACAACTAGGGGCGTGTACATAGTTAGTGTGCTGAGCAATATTTTTTTGAGTGGTAACATCTTTTTCTAGTTATTATTATCCCCATCACATCCCTAGATCCGAGAATAAATAAAAAGGTTTCTGAATTCACACTCAATGTACAAGCATGGCAAATATGGAATGTATTCCCTGTAAGGAAGGTATAATTTCATAATACTACCTAATTTTTTAATTTTCACAAATAAACAACATTTAACTCTGAATACTCGTAAAACTACTTTTACGGATTCTATCGCGTTTAATTAACTTGTTTTTATTGATACCCCACGTTTTGGGTACTTTACCACTAATGGTCACGGGGGACTGAGGTGATTGACGTCCCGATGTCAGAGTTAACCCGGAGTAACTTCAGCTATTTTAATTATTAATTTTGCTCCGATCTACGCAAAATGAACTTACTGTGTCTTGAAGTATTTCAGTGGTATGCTTGGGCTTAAATTTTATCAATTACAGGATCCTAAGCAGGTGGTAGTACCCAGCCTCCCGCTGTATTTAAATTATGACGTTTTTTAATTTCAATAGCCTTTCGTATCATCATTGTAAGGGAAGCGGGAGCCGTCAAGGATATAGTCACAAACTGCAGACTTCCCGGAGCGTTGGTGTTTTACGTCAGCTATGTGTTCTCTTACGCGGTTTTTGATAGATCGCTTTGTTTGCCCTATATATGAGACGCCACAAAAACTCCTGCATCAAAAACGCCGGGAATATCTAAACAACATGTTAATGAAACGCAATAGAATCCGTAAAAGTAGTTTAATTCAATGTGTAGTGTTCGCGTAAATATAAAAAATCATAACATATAACTCTTATCTTAATGTATAACTTTACAACAATTGTAGACACAGCTGTCTCGCTATAGCTCGACCCTCATCACATGCAGACAGCGTCCGTGGGCGCGCCGAGTGGACACAAGTAATTAAGAGATCTGTGGTAACTCTGACGTGCGTACCCTGTGACACGTGGCACGAAAGGAGATCATTTATTTTGAACAGTTTAAATTAATGATAGAAGGACGAAATTATCGCCAAAGAAGTTATGAAGAGATTTCACTAATTTGACGTAGTAGTGCCATGCTTTAGTTATAATATAGTTATTCAATTAAATCAATAAAAAAAGACACTCTCATGTAAGCTGGTATTCTACCAGCCCAAAATAACGGCTTAATGCTGCTGTATTTTGTGTGTTGAAAGCAGAGAACCTAAGTCATTTTATTACTGGAAACGAGGAATTCCATCTTAGTCTTCGAAATCTTAGACAACGCATGTGCACCATGATTCTTAATCGAGGATAGATGTTAAAGTATACGGGCCACATCCATTTAACATTAGGTGGACTGTGTGTTAGTTGGTCACCCTTATTCTAAATAAAAAACAACTTATGTTTGTGAGAGAAACGATGAAACGAAATGATGTATGAGATACAAAAAGATTACAAATTCCTGTTCCGCATTAAGTGTTGAAAGCAATATTAAATCACCTCTAAATAAAATTATCAGATTATGTCCCCCCAATTGGGAGCCGTGATTTCGATTACCGTCGGCTCTAATGAAGTTTTAATTTGCAATTTTATGAGGTCATTTGCAACGAGCTCGGCGGTAACGGAAAAAATGATAATAATAATAAAAATAAAAAAATGAAAAAATGATGTACAATTTATTTTATATAACTGAAGTGCCAAACCTGTCTACCTCATGATGTTTGGCTACTGCGAGCCATGCATACTTGTAATCAATTTCAAACAAAGAAGTCTTCAAACATGACAACGCACCTTGTTATGTCTGAAGACTAACAAAATGCCTCGCAGCCTGTAATCATACTAGCATTCGATTCCCTTCAGGCCAGAATACAGCAGTACAAGCTACTTGGCGGCAGAGCCAGATGAGACGGTGGTACATACGCAGATGGACTCCTGGATAGAAAAGCATTACTGGGGTAGGATTTGGTACTAATTTCATCATTTTCTTTATCATAAAAGCCCTTCACAAGTCCAATGTTGAATATAGATCCCCCAAATAATGTCACAAAGCACGGTCCTGAGTCACCATCTATCGACTTTCTTCATGTCACACCAGGTCGTCACTTCGTCTAGTGGGGGGTTTCCCTACACTTCGCCTGCCGGTACGAGGTTGCCACTCAAGAATCTTTTTTCCCCGTCGGTTTTTTCGGTTTTTTTGAGCTATATGGGCTAACCAATCTGTTGGGCTATGTCAGTCACTCCGGTTCTACTGCGGATATCCTCTTTTCTAAGTTTACCACGCAGAAAAACTCCAATTTACTTGTAACTACTTTTAAATTTGCATGACAGTTACACTATATTAAGATCTTTGTACTATCATGTTTAAAACTAATAATCATTTCTGATTTCATAGGGCCGGCAGTGAAGGACCACGTTTGAGATGCAAAAGTCATCACTGGCAACACACACTGGTTGTAAAACCTCCTTTTGAAGTTTTGGGGTATACGTGACGAGAAGAATTTTCCGAACACTGCGCAGCCGAGTTGAATCCATCGATAGACCTCTCGGTTGAAATAGAACTTACCTAGTCGGACTATTTGTCTCAGGTAAACATATTCGTCAACAAATTTGTGTAGAATGGCTCGACCAGGTCAACAACTTTTACACGTTGTAGAACCATGCAACAGCTATTATAATAGTATATTTTTAGCACGAATGGGTAGGCTTGACCGGGGAAGGACCACGCCCTCACAGAATACCTGCGCATAATAGGAGTTTTATGTTGTTGTGTTTCGGATTTTGAAGGTAGAGAACCAAAGACCCTTTTTACTGGAAAAGAGGCATTCCAGCTTTGTCCTCATGGCTGATAACGCATCTAATTTTATTTTCAAAGGAGAAAAGATGAAAATGTCTATTGGCCACAGCAACCACTTACCGTCAGGTGGACTGTGTGTCCGCTTGTAACCCTTATCCAGAAAAAAAAATGTAGTTAAAGTTAGTGCTTCCAATGACTACCGGCATGGGTGTGACGTGGTCGTTACACATGATCTTTGTTTTTACCTTGTTCATCTTAAAAGCCATCCGTTGGGAGGCGCTGTTGAGGTCATTGAGCATAGTGCTTAGGTCCTACAGCGATTTTGCCATAAGGACTATATCATCGGTAAATCGAAGGTGAGTGGTTTACTCGCCATTGATGTTAATACCGTATCCTTTCCAATCCAGTAGCTTGAAAACATCTTCCAATACAGCGGTTAAGAGTTTCGGGGAGAAAACGTCACCCTGTCAACACCTCTCTGCAGTTGGAGCTTCGTACTCTAGTTCTGAATTCGGAGCGCTGACATACCTATATACCTACAATCACCTTAACAGCGCTGAAGGGACTGCGGAACCGACCAAATTTCGACGGAATCAAAGGCTTTCTCACAGTCCACATACGCAAGTTGTAGTGGCAGGACCTTGGTATTTTGTACAATTAGCTGAAGGATATTTATGTGGTCTATGGTGCTAAAGCCCTTTCGGAAACCTGTTTCTTATGACGGCTAGAAGTCGTCGAGTCTGCGTGCGAGATGATTCATAATGACTCTCAAAAATAGCACGTAGATGCGGCTTAGAAGGAAAGTCGGTCTGTGGTTCTTTAAGAGATCGTTGTCACCATCTTTGAAGAACAAGACCACTGCACTTCTGTAGTGTATGGTAGTGCCACCATGGAGGACGGAATGAAAGAGCTTCTGAAGGACTTCAAGTACTGGTGGTACCACCCGCTTTCAGAAGCTCCGCTGTAATTCCATCCTCGCCCAAGACTTACAATTTTAAAGTGCTGGAGACTTTTAATATTTTTCTCAGGCTTACGTCTGGATATCATCGGAATAGTGTCGGATAAGAAATGCTCTTGGATCGTTACTCACAGTTGCATGTGGCTTCAACGATGATGTGTACAGCTGTCCATAGAACCTCTCAACCTCACTCAAAATCTCTAATGGCCTGGAAACGATGCTGCCACCTCGGTATTCAGCTTCAACAGTTGGCTCTTTCTAATATACAGATCTCTGACAAGACTTTGGAGTCCTGTTTCCACTCGAGTGCTTCTTAAACACGAGCTGTATTGAAGTTGCGTAAGTTTCGTCACATGCAATTGGAGATTTGTCTGTTCAGTTGCCTATATGCTGTCAAATGTGTTGAATACGCAGCTTCATGTGCCGTTTTACAACCATAATATTAAGAGTGTGATCGGAGAGTTTTTATGTTCTTCTGCGACGGGTCTTGCAGAACTTAGTTCCGACCGCATGGACAGTTTTTACAAGCTTGTCATTCATATCGTATACTGAATTTTATTCTTCTATCTTCTAGGCATTGAAAAGAATGTTTTAACTTGAGCTGAAAGCTTTAGGTGGGGCTGAGCTGTAAGCTACTATCGGGGTCCATAGGTAGCGGATCATGGAACGGCTTGGAGATATCCTTGCTAGTTGCATTGCAGTCCCCGACCATTCAGCGACAAGGTACTAGGATGCAGTGGTTATTCCTTAGGAAAGAATAGCTTATAAAATGCTGCAATATCCGATGATGTCCTTGTGACCTGGCGTTTCGTGCCGCCAGTAAATAAGCACTCCTTTGTTATGGGCAGCTGCGTAACAGTATTTTCAGAAGAGGAAGTCTAGTTGGCTGGAACTTATGTGATGTTTTTTATGATTATATTGCGTTTTTCTTTTCATTAAATAAATTTAAAAAAAAACTGTTCTGGAAAAGGAAGCTATTGACGGAGATGGTGTGCAACGGTTCGGCAATAGTACAGCGTGTGGAAGGCAACGGGAAACCACCACATATACTTCCCCAGGAAGATCATTATGGCTGAGAACAATATAAAAATGACCCTCAGTCCCCGGCAGACCTTAGATGGTCAGAGGGTGCGAAGAATCTCCGGGTCAGCCATGACGATTGCTACGTGGAACGTCAAGAGTATATACTGCACATATAAAATGGTGAATATAGAACGGGAGATGCTAAGACTTAAGATAAATATCCTTGGAGTGAGCGAGTCTAGGCACCAGGGAACTGGAATCTTGGTACGGGATGACACAGTAGTATATTATAGCGGTAATAATGATAAAAATCACTACAACGGTGTGGCCGTCATCATCAGCAGACATTTACATCATCAGGTCCACAGTTTCCTGCCAATATCGGACAGAGTTTTAGTTTTAGAGTTAAAAGCAAAACCCAGAAATATTCAAATAGTCCAGGTGTATGCACCTACTGCCAATGCTACCGATGAGGATAATGAACTCTTTTATGAACAAGTAGAAACCGCTCTTAAATATCCTAATCCACATAACATTATCCTCGTCCAAGGTGATTTTAATGCAAAAATCGGGGAGGGCAAAGTCTCTGACATCGTTGGTTCATTCGGACTGGGAAAAAGAAACGATCGCGGTGACCGCTTTTTACAATTCTGCGAAGAACACGGGCTTATAATTTCAAACACCCACTTTAAGCAACCTCCAAGAAGATTGTATACGTGGTCGTCACCATTACATTCGCTGAAGAAGATCGTCCGTAATCAAATAGATTACATACTTATAAACAGAAGATATCGCAACAGTTTGACATCAGTCAAAACCTACCCAGGCGCCGATATTGGTACTGATCACAATCCGGTTGTTGCATCCGTCCGCTGTAATATGAAAATTCTAAAACCTAGATCAAAAAGACAATAAATGGATGTGACTAGACTTAAAGAACCGGAAATACGGCTTAAAGCAGCTACGGAAATAAATATGGCTGTTGACCGCTTGAACAAAGACCTTGGTCCAAATGTTGACGTAGAAGAGACATGGACTAAATTAAAGGAAAATCTTGTTGATATTGGTAAAAGAATCCTCCAACCATTAAACCATGAAACAAAAAACCGCTGGATCACGCAGGAGATCCTCAACTTAATAGAACAGCGTAGAACATACAAAGGAGTAGACGATCAACAATACAAAAGCATACACAAGATAATCCAAAGAAAAGTAGTTGAAGCAGAAGAAAAATGGATGGTTGACCAATGTATTGCGATAGAAGAGTTTGAGGCCAGATATGATTCTTTTAATGTGCATAAGAAAATCAGAGAAATAACCGGTGCTGTTAAAACACGAAACATGAACTGCAACGTATTACTGGATGATCAGGGAAATCCTGCCAAAACAATTGAAGATAAACTTAATGTTTGGCAGAAATACATAACAACACTATTCCATGAAGTTAGACCTGCTCTGGAACCAAGTTCATGTGGAAGTGAATTGACTGGACCACCTATTAATTAAAGCGAAATTGCTTATGCCATTAACATGTCCAAATCAGGGAAATCTGTAGGCGGAGATGAATTACCCGTGGAACTGTTTTAAGTACTTGATTATGCTAACTTAGGAATAGCAGTAAAGTTATTCAACACTATATATGATTCGGGCGTCATACCATTGGATTGGCTCAAATCCACCTTTGTCACCTTGCCCAAAGTTGCTTCTTTCTTGCTGCTGAATATACAACAATCTCCTTAATGAGACATATCCTTAAATTATTCCTTAAAGTAATTCATAAAAGAATTTATAGCAATTGTGAAGACCTCATTTCAAGAACACAGTTTGGGTTTATCAATGGCCTGGGAACGAGAGATGCACTTTTCGGGTATCAAGTTTTAATACAGAGATGCTGGGACATAAATCAAGATGTGTTTGTATGCTTTATCGATTATGAAAAAGCATTTGATAGAGTACAGCATGCAAGAATGATTGATATATTACAATCCATCGGACTCGACTCTAAGGACGTAAGGTTCATTAAACACCTATATTGGAACCAATCGGCGAATGTCCGTATAAAGGGCAAACTAACAGATGACTCGGAAATCTTACGTGGAGTACGGCAGAGATGTATTGTCTCGCCAATTCTCTTCAACATTTACTCAGAGATGATTTTCCGTGAAGCATTGTATCGGGTGGATGTAGGTATCACAGTGAATGGTCAGATTATTAACAATATCCGTTATGCCGATGACACTGTACTTATTGCATCTACAATGGAAGAACTTCAGATCCTTATAGATAACATTCAATCTGTTAGTTCAGCGTATGGCCTCAGTATCAACACCAGGAAAACCAAATATATGACAGTTTGTAAAACACCACCTGCTAACCCTTCTCTACTATGTAATGGACAGACTCTACAAAAAGTTAGCAAATTCAAATATTTGGGGATGTTGGGTTGATGATACGGGAGACGACAGTCTTGAAATAAGGTGCCGCATAGAACAAGCCCGTAATGCTTTCTTTAAGCTAAAGTCACTTCTGTGCAATAAAAAGCTGAACATCCAGATACGAGTACGATTAGCACGATGTTATGTTTTCTCCATTCTTTTGTATGGCGTTGAAGCATGGACCCTCACAGAATCGAGCTGTAAGAAGATTGAAGCCTTCGAAATGTGGGTATACAGAAGAATGTTAAGGATATCCTGGAGAGACAAAATAAAGAACGTAACCGTACTAAGTCGCATAAAGAAAAGCCCAGAAGTTGTATATTTAGTAAAGAAAAGAAAGCTTGAATATCTCGGCCATATAATGAGAAACCGAAAATACGATTTACTACAACTCATCATACATGGCAAGATCCAAGGAAAACGAAGTGTGGGTCGAAGAAGAACATCTTGGCTGAAAAACCTACGCCAATGGTTTGGAAAGAGCACCCGTTCCTTATTCAGAGCCGCGGCATCAAAGATTCAAGTTGCCTTAATGATCGCCGACCTTCGAAAGAAGATGGCACTTTAATAAGAAGAAGAAAGCTTTCGGGACTTTGGGTTGGAGCACTTTGGTGACGGAGCGTTGACTTCATTAGATAAGACCTCTTCAACTTAATTTTTAATTTCAGTGTGCCTCTTAACATTCGGTGATCGCTTCTGGTTTTCACCCTCACAGTTACTGAGACATCACTGTTGCCGTCTCAAAATGAAGTCAATCTCATTTTTTTTCGAACCGTCGGGGCTCTTCTAGTTCCACATCCGCCTCTGGAAAAAAATCATCATAAATAGTCCCTCTTTTCCCATAAGGTCGGCCAGCTGCTGGCCTCTTGTGTTCCGTTACCCTATTTTGAATTTCCCTACCTTCAGCTCACCGCTCTCTCTTGTGCCTAGTTTTGCTTTTAAGTCTCGGATTTCCATTGTTAAGTGGATTTTTGGGGAATGCATGGTTCTAGATATATATTCATACATTTCCTACACCTCCACATCGGCATGTGCCGAGGTTGGTGTGTAGACCTGTATGACCTTCAGCGAACGACGTTTGGTAATTTTGAGTATAAGGTACGCAATCCTCGTCCACACACTCCCAATATTTACAATGTTGTTAACGGGAGACTTGTGGACTATAAATCCGACATCTCCTTGGGACAGACGGTCGCACTCCCGGTGATAGCACAGGTTGCAGAATTCAAGGATTACCATGTCCACTCCTCTTTTCGGACCTCGGATAATTCTATAATATTCCAGCGCAATCTATCTATCTCTTCTTCAAGCGCCAGGATCTTCCCATCAGTAATCAGAGTATATGTTTCCAGGTTGAGTCATCTTAAGTGGCAACCGAACCTCCGCCTGAAATTATTGGCACCCCTGCTCCGCCGTTACCATGTTTGCCACCGTAACCAGGAATAGCGGGGCCGCCCGGCATTTGGGGCCGTCTCTTCGCTACTTTCATCGTGGGGGGTATATTGTCATAGTTTCCACGCTTGGCGGGCGGGTTAGAAACCGCAGTTTTCTTATTGTTGCTAATGCCCATAATCTGCCTCAGTTTATCTCTGTTGTCTCTTATGAAACTCGCAGGATAATATGGGGTAATGAGTATTCTTGTCCGCCACTACACGGTAGTTATATAAAAAATAAAATATATCCTGGAGATATGAATTTCATGAACACGTACTCTAGAAACACTGTTACTGTGACATACTGAAAGAATAACTTCTGTTCCGCGAGATAACAAAATTCATTACAGTCACAAGCTTCTAATTCATCATCATCATCATTACAGCCCTTCACAAGTCCACTGCTGAACATAGGCCTCCCCCAAAGAATGCCACAAAGCACGGTCCTGAGCCACCTGCATCCATCGACTTCCTGCATATCTTACCAGGTCGTCACTCCATCTAGTGGGGGACGCCCTGCACTTCGCCTGCCGGTACGAGGCTGCCACTCGAGAACCTTTCTTCCCCATCGGTTGTCGGTTCTTCGAGCTATATGGCCGGCCCATTGCCACTTCAACTTACTAACCCGTTGGGCTATGTCGGTCACTCTGGTTCTACTGCGGATATCCTCATTTCTGAGTTTATCACGCAGAGAAACTCCGAGCATAGACCTCTCCATAGCTCGCTGAGTGACCTTGAGCTTCCTCATCCGGCCAGCAGTGAAGGACCACGTCTCAGTTCCGTATGTCATCACTGGCAACACGCACTGGGTGTACAGTCTCGTTTTCAAGTTTTGAGGTATACCTGACGAGAAGATGTGCCGTTATTTCCCGAACGCTGCCCAGCCGAGTTGAAATCGTCGATTGACCTCTCGGTCGAAGTTGGACTTACCTAGTCGGACTATTTGTCCCAGATAAACATACTCGTCAACAACTTCGTGCTGAGCGTTCCCAACAACTATCGGCATAGGTGTGAAATGGACATTAAACATGATCTTTGTTTTGTCCATGTTCATCTTAAGACCTTATCGTTGGGAAACACTATTGAGGTCATTGAGCATAGTGCTTAGGTCCTACAGCGATTCTGCCGTAAGGACTATATCGTTGGCAAATCGAAGGTGAGTGATGTACTCGCCATTGATCTTGATACCGTATCCTTTCCAGTCCAGAAGCTTGAAAACATCTTCTGATGCAGCGGTAAAGAGTTTCGGGGATATTACGTCACCCTGTCTTACACCTCTCTGCAATTGGATAGGTTTCGTACTCTGGTTCTGTACTCGGATAGCCATCGTAGCCCTACTGTACAAGCACTTCAACACTTCGATATACCGACAGTCAACTTGGCATCGCTGAAGTGACTGCAGCACCGCCCAAATTTCGACGGAATCAAAGGCTTTCTCATAGTCCACATACGCCAGACATAGTGGCAAATTGTTCTCCTCGGACTTCTGTACAATTTGCAGAAGGGTATTTATGTGGTCTATGGTGCTAAAGCCCTTTCGGAAACCGGCTTGTTCGGGAGGCTGCAATTTGTCAAGTCTACGCGCGAGACGATTCGTAATAACTCTCGAAAACAGCACGTAGACGCGGCTCAAAAGGGAAATCGGTCTGTAGTTCTTCAAGAGAGCGTTGTCGCCTTTCTAAATCGCACAGTGAAAACATCTTCTAAATCGCACAGTGGTAGACCGCCAATCATCCAGATGATGTGGATGGTATCGGGAGTTCTGCCGCGATGTGCGTTTGTGAAATTTGGCGGCTGGGATTAATCCGAACAATTCCTCAGAGCACTCCCAATGGTAAATGCGAAAGAAAATGCTAAGAGATGCAACATCTCTTCGCAGTGCCAAAGAGTCGAGCCGATCGGAAAGGATTAGGTCGTCGACGATTCGAGCCGCTCTGCGCTGGATGCGGTCAAATGAAAGAAGCTGGCATTGGGGAGCCCTAGCCCAGAGATGGGAACAGTATTCCATGTGAAGCCGAACCTGCGCCTTGTAAAGTTGCAGGCGTTG